TATACATCAAGTCAGTTATTAGACATAAGTAGACTGCGGATTTGTATGGATTTACATATTTGTCGCGCATGATAATATTCGAATGATTCCTTTATAGAAATACGTTACAGGATTTTCTGATTATTTTAAGCTATGTTTGATATTACATATTTTCACATATATAATCTTAATTACATATTTTTACATATTTTACTCGTGTTACATATTTTTGTTAAATATTGAGCTATTTACAAAATTAATAATGTATAACCTTTTTAATATTATGTGTTATCTTCTCCAGGTTAAATTAGATCAGAATTTTTCGAAGTTGATTTTCTGATATCAACTAAAAAAAATTTTCCTTAAAGCACCCTGTCATGTAAATTTATTTAAAGAAAATTACCCCCAAACACCCCAGTGATAACTCGCTGGGGTACATGGTTACATGCTGCTGCATATTGTTGCGACAATTTAAGTTTCATTGAAAATATGATTTCCAAAATTGAAATAGATGTTTTTTCAGCATCCTAACTCCAATGAATAAATACTTATTAATTTTAATGTATTTTTAATAATTAATGTTAATAAAATAGCAATAAAATATAGTGTTGTATAATTTATATTTACCTACTTACAAATGTTTTTTTCAAGAATAAAAACTTTTTGTTTTTACATATCTTGTATTTTTAATTACATATTTAGATAAAATTAAATACATATATATGTACATATTTTTGAATTTTGAATACATACAAATCTGTACCCTAGACATAAGTAACTATTCTATGTTAGCTTAATTTTATATATGTTAATATGTTATATCTAAAACGAAAATTATCTTACCAATTAATGGTAACTTACCATTACAATGTAGTACCAGCTATTACTACATTTCCAATTTCATTATTATTATAGTGTTTGTACCTATACATTTTGACATGTATCCAGACTGTCTCTATAATTTGAGCTTTGCCACCAGTTTTGGGTCAAATGAATAAGTTTATAACATAACATTTTAATGTATAAACTTATATACGATTCATAAGTCATTATAACTGTTAGTATAGATCAACATGAATTACATTTTGTCGTGAAATACTCAGCTTACATTTTCATAATGAATTATATGAATTGAAAAATAATCATTAGGCCCAATAGTTTTAGTACATACTATACTAAACCATAAAATGTGTGATTGATAGCATATTGAATGAGTATCAGAAAATTCTTCATAAGTATTTTTTTATGTAGTTTAAATAAATTTCAATTTCCATATAATGATTCAGACATTCAGTGTCATAAATTAGTAGAGTAGTATTTTATTAATATCACACATTAAAAACATTTTACAATTGGTACCTAAGTGGTAACCAGTGCTCTTTGTTTATGGTACTTTTAATTTAGTAACCCTATGTGCCCTTCCTATAACTACGTCACTGGTATTTATACATGTTTTGTCTCATAAATGTATTTATTACGATTCATAATTTATTTATTATTAATATATTCAAAAGTTCTATAACAAATTAACAAACAAAAGTACTATTACACAACTCTATGTTATAAACAATCAATACTAAGTACCCACAACAAAGATATTTACCTTAATCTTACAGTACATTTACACCAAACAACTGAAAGTATTTTAATTTTTTAACAATATACATTAACAGAAAATACAATTTCATGAAAATAAATATTTAATTGTAGTTTACAAAAAAAATGCTTATTGTATACAGATTTACAGATTATATTTTGATAATAAATGTTAAAAAAATAAATAAAAAATGTAATCTTAATATAATAAATGTTCACTTTTTATAATTACCTACTAGTTAATTTATATTTTTTATTCTATATACAATTTAATTTACAATCACTTAATAAAATAAATTGTACATAAAGACAATATTATATTTTATGAAGTTACTTTTATTATTTAACAGGTTAAACAATTGGTATATAATCGCAAAGGCCAAATTGTTTTACTTCTGATAACAGTCGACAAACGTTCCTCCTTCATTATTATAAGGATAAAAAAAAAATAGTACAATAGATAGTTAAGTAGTANAGTAGTATAATAGTTTTAATATAGTAATAATTTAAGGATTTATTTTACTTTTGATAGTAGTCGAGGAAGGCTCCTACTACAATAGTAATATAGTTATAATTTAAGGATTTATTTTACTTTTGATAGTAGTCGAGGAAGGCTCCTACTACATTAGTAATATAGTTATAATATAAGGATTTATTTCACTATTGATAGATTCATACTATAAGAGTAAGATTAATTTTATTTTAAAATGTCTGTATTAAAACATTTGGAAGAAATAGCACATTACATCCAAGAAAAATATCCTACAATGGAATTTGGAAATATAAGTGTTTCCAATGAAGTAATAAGTGATATTTGTAATGTTATATTAAATAAAGGTAATTGTAATAACGCTAAAAAGAATTTAGTAAATGCATTGAAAATACCCAAGTCATCTCTCAGAAAGTTATCAGATGGTAAATCAGATAATAAGTTACTCTTTCTTAAAATGCTCAAAGACAATGGTTATACAAAAAATAATTTTTGTTCTTTTGAGACAGGTTGTAAATTCAATTTGCAAATTATTAAAAATAAAGTGTAATCGTAAAAATCAACGCAACATATATCGGCGATGTCGAGATAGTTTTCGAAAAATGAAATTGCTGAAAATCCTAAAGAATTATCTAAAAAAAAAAATTGTATGTTCGGTCAAACAACCGAACTAAATGATGGTGAGGTGGTGTATGTAAAGAGAAAATTGTTCACAGATGATTCTCCTAAAAAAGAAAACAATTATACATGTAATGACATTGCAGATGATTTGAACATTGGTTTGAATGAAAATTTTCTCGAAATCAATGAAGTTAGTTGTATTAAATATAGTCCTGGTTTGATTAGTATTCCTATTCAAATTGAAGATGATTGCTGTAATACAACGGAAGAAATTTTTAATAATAAGAACACCGTTTCTATTAAAGAAATTAATATCAACGAGGAATTATTTACCACTCCTAAGCGGAAATCAGTTATTGTCATGGCTGAGAAGTTGTTTTCTTCTGTAAAGAGGTCTAAATCAATAGAAATAAGTCATACACCAAAAGCAGATTTGAATGAATTACCCGAGGACTCAAAAAATGTGTGGATTACAGATGGTTATACACAAAAAGAAAATGTTTATGAATCGGTAAATGTTGATAATATGGACATAGATTTGATAAAAGAAAATGAATTTGAAATTGATAGACATAGCTTTGACACTTCTTTACCAATCGAGGATAATGGATGTTATGAAATTGAATAAATTAATGTCACTTAGGAAAGGTTTACCACTCCTAAATGTAAATTCAATATGTCCTATACTGAAGATGACTTTTATACCCCATATATGTTGTATGGCTCTATAATTGTTTGTAACAAACCAGAAGAAAATGTCCATAATAACAATATGGTTTCGATTAAAGCAATCAATGTCAATGAGGAAATGTTAACCACCCCTAAGCGTAGATCAAATGTTTCATTTACTGGAGATTTGTTTACCCCAGAAAAGAGATTTAAATCTATCTCTGTGTGTAACACACCAGAAGCAGATCTTAAAGCGTTGCCAAAGAACTCAAAGAATGTATATCCCTTACAAGTAAGGTCATTCAATAAAATGAAAAAGGTATTGTGTTACAAAAAGTGTAATTTTGTGGAAAGAATTATTAGTTTACTTGATGAAGAATTTAAGCACATAATTGATAACTCAATGGAAAAAAATAATGTTTGTTCAAATGAAATAAGCGATTTGTTACGTGAACAATTTGAAACTGTAAATAACTCTTGTGTATTGACTATCAAGAATAAAAATATTACCAAGAAAGGTTTAACATGTTATGGTATATGTCGACATGAATCTTGTAAGCAGTTTAAACTTGTGGTGGAGAAAAAACCAAAAGATAGTTCTGCACGAATAACAGTTCTGAGTAACAGTCACAATTACAGCCACTATGGTAAACTGACTACATTCTTAAAAGGAAAAAATCGACAAATACAAAAACACATGTCAAAGTATTTCCCACCGATGAGTTTACGTCAAAAATATATTTTAAAAGCATCTCCTAGTAATCTAAAGCGTTTTAACTTGTGTAACATCAGGTCTGATCGTGTATATTATAAGGTGTCTCACGAGCAAAAGAGTCTTGATGATAGGGCAGCTGACGACAGGGTTGATATGCATTTATTGAAAGATAATTGTTCAGAATTCATTCAATATGTATCCGACCCAAAAGAATATGTATTACTATTCATGTAGATGCGACTGGCGGGGTGGTGAGAGAATCTACAACACTATTCAAAACAGGAAAAACAAAAGAAAAAATACTGTTGTATTATGCGGCTGTCATCGTGTGCAATAAGAGGATAATTCCAATAGCCGAATGTTTATCGACTTCACAAACTGATAGTGCGATAACAAATTGGCTAGTGGAGTTTCGAAGATTCTATGAACATCAGTGTGGTACAAAGTTCATGGCACACGTTGTCAGTGACTTTTCAGAAGCAATACTAAAAGGGTTTGTGAGAGCATTTAACGAATGTAATGAAGTCGTAGAATATTTGAATAATTGTTATGAGTTCATGTATGGGGGGAAAATATTTAATTGCAACGCACTGATAAGTCTTTGTTGTTGTCATTTAATCAAAAATATCTCTGACGACGCTCATAAATAAAGGAAATGGAAAGCAGATGACTAATGGCTCTTTGGCATGCTTGGCAACTGCGTGTATCTCTCCAGCTTTCAACATAACTACCACGGAATGTCTGGACAAATGGTTCACTGCAGTTACAACGGTGTTGTTGTCGCCCGGCAAGTCTGTATATGTGGATGATGCCATGGAGACCTTGAAGCAGCTCAACGATGAAAATCCAAGTAGTCTAGTTGATGATCTAATCACAAAACAAAAAAATGTTACATTAGATGAACAAACAAGAGATGCTAAGACATTTTACCGGTATAAAGAATCCAAGTTTTTGTCCCGGTTTGAAAATATAGTCGTTCAGGTAAAAGAAATATTAAACATGTGTGGCAGCTATGAACAAAATCCATTGTATAGCATTGAATTTCACAACGATATCATGGGGTCTATCATTCCAGTGATTCCAATGTGGACAGGTGTGATGCGGTTCAAAGTATTTGGGTCAACGGACAGAGCAAGCAATGCTCCAGCAGAGAGTTGGTTTGGAGATTTAAAAACACACAAAAAGTGCCGGCGCATGAAATGTGGAAGATTTGTTCAATTGACTAGGAGTATTATATTGAGTAAATGTAAAGAAGTTCTGCTAGATATACCATCAAATAATATTGTGCTCTTCCTGCAGTTCAAAATAAACAAAAAAAAACTGCAAAAAAAGAAAATACATCATTTATCAATTTGATTTCGTCATCATCTGATGACAACGAGGAAAAAGAACATTGGGGACCTAGAAAGAAAAAAACTGGTTTCTACTTCAGGGGTCATTTAAAAAGCTGCTTCAAAGCAACTAAAGCCACGGATGGTTATGAACCATTCGTCACCAATTAAAAACGTTATAGATGATGTGATTTGTGTGACACCAAATGTAAACATGCTCTCATTTGATTCCATAAAAACTTATGACAAAATTGTAACTCCAAATACTAGAACATTATCAGAATCTTTTAATTCTATAAAAAGCTACAAATCTCCAGTAGACGGTCTGCGGTGCAAAATAGATTTATATGGAAATAGATTACCAAAGGATAAAAATTATTATGGTTCTATTTTAAAGAAAAATGGAAAACAATTGGATTATGTAGTGGGCATTTATAACAGTGTTAAAGACATTACTCAGTGTCATGAGTTATTATTTAGTGACTTTGACACACTATCAACGTATACACCTGAAAGTATGAAAAAAATGTGGTTGAGTAATTTGTTATTGATATAGCACTGGGCGTATTGAGAGAGACGTATGGCGAGCACAAGAATGAAATAAAAATATTGAGTTGTGATGTATCAGGTCATTTAAATAATGATCATTCAAAACGAATTTCAAATTTGGAAACTATAGTTGTTCCAAAAGACAGTTTACTTGTAATGCCATTACATGTAAATGGTAACCACTGGGTGCTAGTGTTAGCAGATTTTGGAAATCATTAGTTCTATTTTTTGGACCCATTTGAAACTACAGAATATAACAAATGTAGACATAATTTTGTGACTATACTCGGTGAACTGAAAAAAAATCATATTTATGGAGAGGAAGGAAATGTATGGCCAGAAATGAATTTTCAAATATTTTTTAACTATCCTAAACAAACCGATAGTTATAACTGTGGAGTTTATGTGTTGTACTATGCAGAGTGTATCATGAAAAATAAGATTGAAAACATTAATTTCAAACAAGACTTCAATCCAATGTTATACAGAGAGATGTTAAAAGATCTTTTGTTGGAAAAATCTGATTTCATGAGAGATATTTGTTTGTATTGTGGGCGTACGGATAAAAAACACAGAGAGATAAAAAAAGAAAATATCGATTGGGTGCAATGCGATACATGTAACAGATGGATAGTACTACAATGTTTGTCAAATGTAGGACAAACGTCAGGTTGTGACGATAATTTTGAATGTGTTTTGTGCGTATCCAATACAAAAAGTTTATAAAGTATTAGTGAGTAAATTAAAAAAGTTAGTGCAATTAAAAAAATCAGTGGAGTAGGCCTATGTTGGGAAACCACTTTAAAAATAACGCGCCAAAATACAGTACCCCCAGTTTTGTTGAAAACAATGCTAAGGTTGTGTGGAAATCTGTTAAATTGTGAATTTCAGAATAGAATAATATTCATTAAACTTGCATTACTAACTATCAACATATAATTTGTATAAGACTTATAAAACCAGATTTAACTTGCCATCCAATCTAAAAATTTAAAAAAAAAATATTATATTACATGTATAATAAAGACTTAAAAAAATTATATTTTATTATCTATCATCAACTACAGTAATTATGATTACCATTTTTAGATAGAATTGGGACACCTCATTCGTACATTTTTTATTTCAACGTTTCACATCCAATATGACGGCAAACAAATAATCCAATACTTAGGATATTAATTTTGCAGTACAACTAATGCGCAATGACTAAAATCAAAGAATATCAAAATACTTCAGCGATCCAACATGGTAATTGTTTATCCACCTAAAATACATGATAAATAAGCACTTTAATTCAAAAAATAAAAATTGTAATTCATTAAGGATTTAGATTATATACAATACATAATAAATTAAAAATAATAATCACTTACAGCATATATTAGACTTTAGTATCTTATGTCCTTATTATTACACATCAAAATCAAAAGATGATTTGTGCGCTTAACAGCTATACTGGAACCAACATTATTTAAATATTTCCTCTTCCATATATTCATTGAACTTGTGAATTTATACGACTTTTGGCAGTAGTAAAACATTAATAAAAATAATATTCTTTGAACAATGCTATATATAAACACTGAATTAGTTAATTGGTAATATCACAGTTTATGATTACCTTTATAGAATGTTCTTCTTATGATGATGTGTTGAATTATGTGTTTTTTTATCGAACTTTGGTAGTTAATAAAAAAAAAACTATCATATTATGAATTATGGCTAATAAAAACAAGAAAAATCATTGTTGTATTACAGTTAGTTATATACTATATATTTTAAATGGTGACATTAAAACAGTTTTAAATCCCACTGATATTCGTTTTCTTACTAACAGATTGAGTTATTTTATTTATTAGTAAAATATTAGTATCCGTTAATCTAAAACTGTTTTAGAATTTTAGATCATCATATAAATGTAGTACCTAAGAGCAGAGTGACAAGTAAGTAGTAACTAGTAAGTAATTTATTGATGAGTATGCAACAGATTTAATATTTATAGCACAATTACAATTTACAACTGTAAATTGAAAATTTGAAAATTATAATCTATGATAATCATTAATTATCAAAACACAATTCGATTGCGATCACGGATTTAGATACTATTTAGTATCTATATCCGTGATTGCGATTAACTCCGTTATCATAATATATTGTTTACACAACTATTGAACAGTGTAGCCTTAGAATATATTACATATCTTACATTAATATGTTTTATTCAAAATCTTCAGAATGAGCCCGCTAGCAATGAGTTCAAAAAACATTAAGAGGATACGACTGTCTACATACTACAAAATATTTTTTGTCATAGGTAGCTACTAGCTACACCACTACACCAGTACCTATGCATTGCCACTTGGCTCCGTCTTAGTGACTTACAAACGGATAACATAGCAAATTGTAATTTCTGAATAATCTATTTAACTCTGTTTTATTTTATGTTTGAGTGAATTAACGTATTATTAAATTTATTGTTGATTTATTATTCCAGTCCTTCTAAGTCCTCAATATTATTTATTATAGCAATATAGCCTATACCTTATAATACAGTGGTCGCCGCTTATTGGACTCACGGTTAATTGACTCATTCGCATATTAGACTCAAAACGGTTGGTCCCGATTCGCACGGTTAGGTTAGGTTAGGTTTTTGAGTCATTCGCCTTATTGACTCTTTCGGTTAATTGACTCAAATTGTCGGGTCCCAAAGTGAGTCCAATAAGCGGCGACTACTGTATATTAAAACTTGACTTAATTTAAATGCATTTTGAATCTAGTAGAAATGTACTAATGTACATTAATTGTATCTATGATTTAAATGCGCTTAGCAAAAAATAAAAAAACCAATTATAGTAGGCACCTATTGCAAATAAGATAAAAAAAAAAATAACAAGATAATATTATGAAAGCATTTTAGTTTACCATCATTATAAAATATTTTGAATTCAATTTTGAAAATTATTAAAAATCATGATGATTAAGTAAGTATTAAAGGGAAATTTTAATATAACTAAGTAACGATGAATTTTTTTAGGTAGTTTACAAAATACATATAAATATAAATCCCTTTTAAGATTTGTAGGTATAAAACCGCATTGTATATTATATCACCAATTTCTTATGTTTCGGTGCATATCTTTCAATACATATTTTCATTTTAAAATAGACAATATACAGTTAGCTTAGATTCTTTAGAACGAATAAATAATATAAAATACCACACATTTTCATGATTGTCTAACATTTTTATTTTTATTCAAAATTAATTATGAAAAATTATGTTTCACTTTTAAAAAAGTGAGTAACTTTATCAAATATAATATACTATAATAAATATATAAATTGTATTTTCAATCGAGTTGATCGAAAGAATTCCACATGGATAAGTCATATTATGTACTTAGTTATAATTACTATTGTTTTGATTAAATGTACTGTATCATGTATATTTACCCGTACTACCGATGACCGATGCATCATCTATTCAGATTTAAAGCCAGTGTTTAACATGGAAAATCTTTAAAAATGTTGCATACTTATTACAACATAGTAAGTATAACTTAAATATACAATACCATTTAATAAATAAAAATATGTAAAAATATTTCATTTTGAACGGTAGAAATATATTTGATAAAAGTGTAAGTTTGCTCTAAATGTACTAAGTCACAAAGATGATATATTAAACACTAGGTAGTCGATACTACAGCAATATATTTCTTTGAGAATTGGATATGTAATAAGCTAATAAATAAAGAAATTGAACAGCGGCAATACACTTTTCTTACAGTCATATAAGTACTAAATGTATGAAGTATGAATCGCTAATACCTTTAATATATAGCAATATATTGTGTTTGGTAATCGGATAGGCCATAAACACTTAATTAAATGTTAGCAATAGATTTTTGGTAATCGGGTAGGCAATAAACACACAATTGAACGTTAGCAATAGATTTTGGGAACCCTTGAATTCTCTTATCAAATATTGCTAGCGGACCGTACATCGATTTATACAAGGTAATTATAATATGTGGTTGAACCACTTCATTATCGAAATCACGATTGTTTGTTTAACTATCAAAATAAAATGGAGGCCGAGAGTGGAACCAATCAGATTGGTTTATTATATCAAAAGCCAGATTTGCTTATCAAATGTTCAAAATTCCTAATAATCCAACAAGAAAGATAAACATTGCAACAATTTTTTTTTAAGAATTTTAATTGTAACAATTTTAGTATTTTCTTATACAGAAAAATGTTAGTTAAGTCAAGGTAGTTATAATACTACATAAGTAACAATATTAATCTACAATATAAATGTATAATATTAATATGGGAAAATTTGTGTTGATTTTGAAAGTAACAATTTTTTTTTTCATTTTGATTAGTAATTTCTTTTTTTTTTTTCAATTTTTTTTTGTAAATTTGCATTTTGATCTTTTAATCTGTGTCCACGTGGAGCTGCTTGTGCTGGTATTTGTATCGTTTGTTTAATTGATGGTAATATAACATTATTGTTTGACTGTTTGTACACTTATCCAATTTTTTCATTTTTTTTTTATTCTTAGTTTTGAAGTTTATGTTTTTTATTTCTGCATTTAAATATCTTATAAATATAAATGTTAGAGTTTTCACTAAACTGAATACCACTTCTGTAGGAACATTGCAGCCTTAACAGTTATGAATAACCTGTAAATAATATCCATTAGCTGTAGGTTGTGTGGTACTGTAGAGTTTTGGGACTGTAGGGGGGGAACACGTGTGTGTTTTGGTTTTGGCAGAATTTCTATTGGGCACCCGTAGGTTTCTGCCATGCCCGGTTGGGGGATGGCGGCACTTGTTCTCCGGTCACCGCGACTTGTCCAGAGAAAAATGCCGCCCGGTGGCCGAGGATCGAACCGCGATCGGCTGCGTCGCAGCGGACGCGTCAGACCACTCGGTCACCTCGTCCCCCAATATTCAATTTTATATTATTTAGTTTTTAGTTTTTACAATTACCTTCCTAAATTAAAATAATTGTACCTACTGATTTGTGTGTAAATTAATAAATAATATAAATTTACTTTATTCTCAATTTGAAAACAATGTATAAATATATGTACTTGCTAAAATGAATTGTTAAATACATTGGTTGGTATATATATTAAAATACCTGTGCACTTATCCTTCTCACTTCGTACAGTTCTTTTAAAATACTCCTAGTCCCTAACCTGTTAACTCAAGTTGTGATCTTGATTTCGTCCCATATTACTAAAACAATTTATTAAGTATAAAATATTTAATAACCAGTTGCAGGATAGTCTGTTTTAAAAAACATTGTAACGATTTTGAATTTGCCCTAGTACATTTAACTTTGTAAAAATATCCCATTGTTAACCCTTTGACGAGTAAATTATTTTTCATACTAGTACACCCAGAGAGTGAATTGTTTTTACCAGAAAACCACACTTTTCGTCATAGTAATGACAGAAATTTACGTCGCATTTATTGTACGTAAAATAGTAAAGACGGATAAATACGTCTTAATAATTTTCACCATAAGAGTGTAGACGGAAATAGACGTCTTGAGAAAAAGTATAACTCAAAGAGGAATGACGTAAATTTCCGTCTAGTATAGATCTAATATAATACAATTTTAAATAATTAAGAAATATATTAATTACCTGTACAATTTAGAAATAAAACACTATTTAAAACGTATTCTTTAATATAAAGTAGGTATTAAGAACCTATAAAATATAAGTAGCCTTTGCATCATATAATACTATATATAGTTACCTATCTATGTTATTACCTAATTAATAATTATACTACAGAGAACAATTTTTAAAACTTGGTATTTTATATATATTTTCCCGGCAATAAAAATATAAACTGTTAGCTTAAAATGTATTTAAAATCAAAAATCATCCTTTATTGAAATAAAATAAAATAATCAACTTGTATAGGTAATACAGAAAAAATAAAAATAA